CGGTCAAACCCGAGGCGAAGGCTCCCTGCTCGAATTCCATGGGAGTTTCAAGTGTCATTAGGAGGATAAGCCAGACAAAGGGCTTTGCCTTTTGTCTCGAGCGGTGCGCGCGCAGGTGGAATGAAGCCCCTGTTGCACGCGGCGTGCCCTGCACCACTCTGTTCATCATCTACGTTGAGTTATTGCGGGCAGGTCCCCCGTTCGACCCGGGCAGGGGTGTGGGTAACGTCGAAGCGTTTTGTTTTGGAGGGGGCTGCAGAGGGAGTGTTAATGGGCTGTATATTTTTCACTGTGATCCAAGAGATTTGGAGGACATGGGTGGAGGTGGGATAAGCACAGAGGGAGAGATCCCCATTCGGATTGGAATGGTCCGGTTACTTGATCATAACTCGGTGTAGCTGGTCTTTTGTGCAGTTTCAACCGGGGAGGAGGAGGGGAGTAGAGGTCGCAGTATATGCGATGCAAGGGTGTGAGTGAGTCTAGCGAGATGCATCCTGGACGGAGGGTGCTCGGCCAAAGAAAAAAAGGAGGAGACGTGCGTTTTCACGCGGGTCCCGCGTGAAGCGGTGCAGCTTTGTGGCCCGTGGGGATGTTTAGTTTGAAGGTTTAGTTGGAATGTTTGTACACTGGCTGCGGCGTTAAGCCCCGGTGCATAGACATGGTCGAGAGTAGGAAGGAGTGTCATGTCGGGGGCAGCGAGTATTGGTAGGAGATAAAAATTCGGGCAGAGTGAGGTATGCTGCCTGGCCCGTCGAAGGCAGATAACATAAAAAGAAGTCTGGGAAGAGGTACGGACTGAAGATTTGGGCCAAAGTTTGGCGGAAAAAACAATTTGGGGCTAGACACAGAAAAATGGGTGGGAAAGCAGATTCCCAGGGGAAGGGGAAAAAGATGGACAATTTCGGACGATGCAGGCTGGCCCGAGTCGCTCGGGTGAGCACTGCTTTCAGTTGAAACGTTGAGGTCTGGAGTGTGTACGGTGACACTGCAAGTTCTACAGGCGCTGAGGAGGTATAGTTAGTCTGTAGACTGTCATTCAATCTTTATTGGGGGTTGAGTTGCCCGGATGGTTACCGTGGCATCAGCACAGAGCTATACATGGGTGGTCGAGGGCAACGGGAGGGGGGTCACGGAGGTTGTGGGAAGTGATGGTTGAGATGGGCGTTGATAGCAAGAAAAGCGGCGGGTTGGAAGAGCCGCCGATCGTGTGTGGGAGAGGAAGCAGGGTGTTGGCCGCGGCCATCTTTCACTTCGCGGGCGTGAGATTTGCTCGTGTCTCCGTCGCCTTGTGTCTTCTGTGTCCATGTCGTTGGCACCACTCACAGAACAGTCTTGCCCGCCTCATTTGCAATCTAATCCCTCATTTGCCTCGCAGTGGGCAGGGGAGCTCGAAGGTGGACAGTTCAAGACTGCGACGGCAATCCAGGTCGACGACACCGTGGTTATAGGCTTGTTTAGTAGGATAACATCCAAGTCTATCGAGCGACAGTTCTTCCCCGCGCTCTTCTCCACTGGTGGGCCACCGATCAACCTGGCGCAGGTGCGAGAGTTCCGGCGCATTGTGGATGGTATGGGTCGGGGGCTATTTCCCGAGCGGCCGACGGTGCAGGGCTTTCGTCTGACGACAGGGGAGCTGCACCGGCAGCTGTGGACGTGGGGAAAGAACAGGATGAATCTGGCGGGTGACGCCAATGGGAGCAAAGCTCTGAAGTGGTAAGTGGAAAAGTTCTGTGCATTTGCCTGCCTTGACCCGGTGAATTAGGGCGCTGCAGGCATACCTTGTAGTTATTGCGCCGTGGTCGAGCGTAAAATTGAAGGTGGTGCGGATGGGGAGAGATGAGGTGCCAGGGTTTGGCTTGGTTGCGACCCGGTATATCGCCAAGGACGAGTACATCTACGAAGCCATAGGGCTCTACACCACTGACTTCAGTGCTGATCACTCGTTCCTGTCCACTATCGCATGTCCCAGGCACAGGACACCGCACGTGTTTTGGGGCCCAATACGTCTCATAAATCACGACTGCATTCCCAACGTCGAGGTGAGTGGATTTGTGCTGTGGATGACCAGGGTTGACATGGATCAAAGTATATTGAGGTGAGGGACACCCGTGCGATGGTCGTTCAAGCTTCGCGGCCGATCCAGGCGGGAGAAGAGTTGTTCGTGAACTATGGGAGAGATTTTTGGGAGGGACCATGCCCTTGCCGCACATGCAATCCGGGCCCGAGTTCAAGTGTGAATGCTTATGCAGGCCCTTCGAACTTTGCCCCCGCGGGAGTTGCGGCGCAAGCACCGTTCATGTATTCGAGGTCCGCCCCTCCCGCCTTTGTGCCGCCCGTGGGCCCGATGACAGGGGCTGGACCGCAGGACGCGTTCCGCAATTGGGATGGCACGGGATCTCAGTTTGGGCCTTACTCACTTGGGGTGCCGTCTCAGCCGCCTGTGTTCTCACTTGCCAGGCCGGGACATCCAGCTTTGTTCTCATCGCGTGGGCCACAGCCTCCGTTTTTACGACCAGGCCCGTCCCAACCACCGGGATCTTCACAAACAGGGTCAGCTTCGCTCCCTCCGCATCTGCAGAGCCAACTTTTTTTGCCGCCTGGGTCGTCGGCGGTGTCTCCGATGACTCCCCATTTTCAACAACCTTTGCCTTTTATCCCACAGGGAATGACGGCGGAAGAACAGCCGGCTGAGCAGACGCGCTCGGTGGAGGCTATCCGGAGAAGCAAGAGGCGCATGAACAAACGAAAAAAGGATCAGGAGTGATTAAAAATGTATTAACGATTGTAAAGTACAGTAGTGCTCAATGAAAGGAGACCCGGTTGCGGATGGCCCGCGCATACATATTCATTGTTTTTGAGACTGCGTGCAGAATAATTTGTATGAACCTGCTCGTTCGAGTCGAGCCTGGGTCATAGTCAATGTGCACATGTTTTTGTCTCTCCGGGTAGTCGGGCACACACCGGAAGTATGTGAACTTGCGATTGAATGAGGCAAGGGTGCGGACCGTATGAGTGTCATATTGCAGTGCTGGATTCTCGGGATGTGGGAAGATTTTGGGGTGGATACTGGGAAAAAGTGCTTGAGAGTGTCTCAAGGAGATTCGTGGGGAGGAGAGGGAAAAGCTTATGAAAAGGGCATGAGGCGGCGCTGGGATTCGAACCCTAACCCTTGAGGGGGTGCGGAAGGTTTGTGGCACATGCAGTTTTGTCTTGGACAACAGGCGCCGCTGGGAGTTGACTGGTGGCACTGGTTGCATTCGGTATAGGGAGCGCGGCGGCATTGCGGGGACAAGGGGAATGGTGGGTGGTGTCATGTTTTTTGGTAAAAGACGGTATCGACGGAGGTGCCGCTGCGGTAGCTGCGGGGTGGGTCAACATATTATAGGGGGAGGGGTATGTGGGTTGGACGAGAAAAAGGCTAGGATCGCCGGAGATTGTGGTGACGGCGGTGTAAGGGCAAGGGCGATCGGCGGGTATGCGGGTGTGAGTATACGGGTGTGCACAGTATTGGGAAGCCCGCGATGATCAATGGTGATCTCCCCCTTTTCGTTCGGAAGGAGCTCTATAAGTACGGGAGGTGTGGGGTTCAAATCCCCGCGGGGGCGTTCGTAGAGTCGTTTGATTGTTTTGGTGGCTGGAAGGTCCAGTGATAAGAAGTAGCTGGGGTGGGAAGCTGTGCGTGGTGCAGACAGGACGTGCTGCGCTCAGATATTGCCTGCGTGAAGGCAGAGCAAAAAGAGGCTGTGATGTTGCTGAAGGCTGGGTCTTATGGCGTAAAGCGGAATTGTGGAGGCGGCGGGTGCTAGTACTGGGAATATAATGTATAAGTTGACTGGCCTTGACATGGCCTGTGTCTCCCTATCTCGAACCGTCAACAATGGGTTTTGAGCAAGGATTAGTCCAGTTGGTGGTTGAGCACCGCACATGGTATTTAGGTGCGTAGAGTCTCATTGTTTGTAGAGGTTCACAGCCGTGAGGGGTAGACCTGAGAAGACAAGGTCAGTAACGGGCAGAGCGAGTCAGAGTGAGTTGGACACAGTTTAGCCAGTCCAAGAGGCTTCAAATGTCAACGTGCCCAGTGGAAGAAATATCAGTATTAAAGGTTGGGAACGAAGGGCCTGAACGCAAAGTTCTGAGCACGGAGACGACATTTTGAGGCGAATAGTCCGTGAGTTGTGGCGAGAAGATATAATGAAGCTACACCTGTCCGAGAGCGAGATTGGAGCGCACGGCAGGGAAAAAGAAGGGGCGGATACGGGATAAGGGCGCGGGCTTGAATCAAACGCGGGGAAGCCGCGAATATTCATGTCAAGGTTGGCGCCGATGTAGGTGTGAGTATTGCAGGTGCGCGCCGTGGGACGAGGTGTTTTGTTCTTGAAAATTGCTGGCTGGGAGGTTCAATGGTGTGAATTAGCTGGGGTAAAAGTGAGAGGAACAGGGCCGCACGACTGCAAAGTTCTCAGCGAGGAGGGTACATTCTGAGACAAATGGTGAGTAAATTGAAGCGACAGAAGGTAATAGAGGCATACCTGTTTGTGAGCGAGATTGTGGGGCTCCCGGGAAAGTTTTGGAGGTTCCCGGGAAGAACTCCCGGGAAGGATTTGAAGGTTCCCGGGAAAAGTCCCGGGAAAGATTTGAAGGTTGGCGGGAAACCTGCAGGGAGGCCGGTTAATCCTGCGAAAGGAGTTGAAACACTGTCAGACGTTGTAGATCATGGTAGAAGAATCAACAAAAACACCTAGTGGGGCAAATGTTTGGTTGCGGTTGAAGACATTGAAAGTCCAGAAGCATCACATTGCACGGCCGTTGTGTAGCGGTTACATACTCGATAATCGTCATCGTCTCGAAACTGAAGAAGGGTAATCGAGCATCGTGGGTTTGAATCCCGCCGAAGCATTATTGACTTTGCGGATGAGGTTTTTTTTACCCCCCACGACTGCCTTTTTCTCCGTCGCACCCGACGACGCCCCACCGACTCCATTCAAACCGCATTCCACCACAGCTTCGTTGTGTAGTGGTTACACACTCGATATCGATAGCAGCTTCCAACCAAGATTCATCGAGCGTCGTGGGTTCGAATCCTGCCGAAGCCTTATAGCAGAATGTGCATATAATGTTTTTTACCCCGACGTTACGTCTGGTTTGTTTCCTTTTCCGAACGGTCGCACCCAACAACGCCCCAACCCACTTCATGTGTTTCCACATTCCACCACGGCTTACATACTCGATAATCGCACAACAGAATCTAACACAATGTGACACAACGCTATGTCACATATCTTTCAAGTTCTTCAAGTCGAGCTGAAATTGAACGGGTCGCATGGCACGTCCCTGTTCCCGACACGGGCCGGGAACAGAATTTTGATGCTGCTCGTTTTGGGGGACAGAAATTAGTTGATTCGGGTGCTGTGGTGGCGATTTTCTGTTCCCGACGGACGTAGGGAACAGAAATTAATTGATTCGGGTGGGGCAGTGGCCAGTTCCCGACGGACGTAGGAAACAGAAATTAATTGATTCGGGTGGGGCAGTGGCCATTTTCTGTTCCCGAGGGGCGTAGGGAACAGAAATTAGTAGATTCGGGTGCTGTGGTGGGCATTTTCTGTTCCCGACGGACGTAGGGAACAGAATTGAATCGTTTGGGGGACCTGCTGCTCATTTGGTGTTGGCGACGGGCGTCGGGAACAGAATTAAATGATTTTAGGTGCTGCAGTGCTCGGTCGGTGTTCCTGGTGAGCGTCAGGAACAGGATTCCGGGGAAAATTAGAACCTAGTTTTGGCGTAATGAAACCAGATTCCTGAGGGGGAATTGTCCTAGAGGTTAAGATTTGAATGCAAATAGGACAGATAATTGACGGTTTCTGTTTAGCTCCAATGCGATTTCGTGCGTCTGTTACTCGGGAAAGTGTAACGTATAAGGACGTGGAACGCGCAACTCTGGGGGCCACCGCGACAGGATATAAAGCCTAAATTAGGGTTTAACCGTCAAAATATACCCTAAATCTGGGTTAATCCCGGACCTAGGGATACTACTAAACCACCTTAATAACCCTGCCCACGCTCGACGTGGAGCAATTCTGCGCGGAGATGCTCACGGTGGCGTTGTTCAAACCTGCCGCGGTAGAAGCTTCACATGCGTTGGTGGCCGCGTTCCTGGAGGCGTACCGCGCGCACTCCGGGGCGCTGGCGCCGCATTTTGCGAATGTCGCGGCGAAGCATATGGGCGCTGTAAGCCTTTATTTCTCAAACCCCAGGATTTGGGCGAATACTAACGGATGATTTCGCAGCACCTCGTTGCGATAACGCCAAATGTGGGGTGGGGAACGCCTGAGGAGACCGTAAAAGCGATAGAGGTTGGACTGGAGCATTTGATGGAGGGGTGCTCGGACCGGTGGGTGCGCGAGAGGTCTATCCTCAATCCCCTGATGTAGAAGAGCAAATCCATAACATACAACGTATTGCATTGCGCCGAATAATTTCCGGGACATTATTAGGGACGGTGAGCGGTGATTATGGCAAGTGACTCAGACGTGCTTTCGATCATCCAAGAGGACCAAGACTGATTCAAGTTATAACAACGACAGAAGAAGGCGGTCCAATTCGGACGAATCATGCATTCCTTCCGGACCCTCCCCGTGCCCTTCGTTTTCGGGAGCCGACACACTTTCTCTTGTCCGTGCTTCTTGCGCGGTCGAAACTTGATATGGACAGAATTTCATCCTGTGACGACGCAATCCATCCGCACGGCTGAAGCTTCTCTTGCATTCCAAGCATTTGTGACGTTGGATGAAGGCGTGTACCGTGGTATGGCGTTGTGCATCGCTGGCTCTCCCGAAAGTTTGCTGGCATCCTGCGTACTGGCATGCGAAGCGCGCTTGTATGTATACGACGTCAGTTCAATGTCAAGAAAGATTGCGGTGACTCTCACCGGCCAAGCTCATATTGCTTAGTTCACGGCTGGGGCAAAGTGTACAAACGAAAAGTTTTACTCCTTTATATGTCTCCCAATTGTTGTATTTATGGACGCCACATCATGGCCACACATCAAGATATGCGGTTCTCAACACTTTGATTGGCGGTACAACAAGCTTAGGGGCAAGAATGAACCAACCGGGGAGATACAATGACAAGTTAGTACATTGGTGAGTTGTTCTCCAGGTAGGGTAATCAGGTCACTTCAGGACAAACCTGGCCGATGGACGGGTTCAAGTCTGTTCAAAAAGTTGAAGTTGAACCAGGATCACGTGGGTGGTTCAACTTTTGGCCGCACGATGAGTCAACGCATGAAAAAATTGACCACAGGCGTGGCGTTTGTGGAGAATGGCGAGTCATTCATGAAAATATTTTGCAGTGATGTATGTAGAGAGTTGTCGCCATTCGGGAATCAGCTTGGATAGATCAGCGTCCCGGAATAATTGACTGCATCTTCTGCAAATTGCGGAGTAACTAAACATTACTGTAATGGAAAATGGCTTGTTAGATTAACAGTCACTGCCCTCGGTAAGAGTATTGTCGGGCCGAATCAGATTCCTGAACAATCAACTTTGAGTTCGAGGTCGAGTGACTCGCATTGCCATTGTTTTCGACGCGCCCACAATCACATCTCTTACACAATTGCGCGTGGCGTTGGGTGTATAAAAGAGGCGGCATGCCCTCTTCTACGGTTCAAGTTCAGGAGCTCGCCCTCTGATGTCGCAAACAATCGACGCCACAATGCGTACGTGTTTCATTTTTCCCTGCCATCGACTTGACCATCCAATATTCAAAGCCAACTCAAACCACACGGGCCTCACAGAGGACGAGATCGATGAAGCTTGCGTGGAAGAGATGTCATTGTCGGGGGAAATATCGGACGATTGCACATATCCTGCGGACTCGGACTCGGACTCGGATGAGATGTCAACGACCAACAGCTTGGAAGAAAGTTCTACGACAGGCGGGACTTGCACAAGTCCTGCCAGCTCAGACGAAACGTCAATAGCCCTGGGCAGCAGCTTGGAAGAAAGTTGTACCACAGACGGGACTTCAAACAGTTGCGCGACTGCCGTTGAGGATCCGAGTCCGGATTTCAGCACCTCGGATGAAGAAGAAATCATGTGGGTCATCTTCCGTCGTACCAGACCGAGATGCAGCTCATTTGGTGTTGCCGGTAGAGTATCGGAGCAAATGTGCGCCGTACAACTCATGCACGCAGGAGACAAGATCGTTAAAGCTTACTTAAAAATGGGAAACTTGTCGCCCAAGATTTTGAGCAGCTGCAGACTCTTCCTCCGCGCGACGGTTAACGTCAACGATGAAGAAGTGCGACCTTTGGCAAAGATAATTAGGGAAATTATGTGTGCTATCTTGCACTGTTCCGGACAGAAAATGTGGCTAATTTGCGGCGGCCAGCAAGGGAGCTGACTGCACAACCATCGAGCGATATGTGCACAAGACGTGGGATGAGTACGACGGGAAGGACGAGGAGTATTATCTGATGCAATTGAGGGACGAGGCCAGTCAAGACGACCGCAATCCGCACCGCACATATTGACCAGCATTATTATTGTTGTAGCATAGACCGTGTGACTTGAAGCTCCCGAGAGAAAAATCTCAACAAAATCCCCGGTGTGAGGGTTACTGTGACTCAAGGGTCGTAAGAATCCGTTGCCTTTTTATCATCCACCCGACGTTATATCTCGACGATAGACAATGTGGATCTGAGAGAGAGCACGTTCTGCGGACCCAACGGGCATTGAGCCGACAAAACGTTGACATGAAGGGAAGTAAGGCGGTGGAAACAGAGTATTAAGGCATGATCGTGAGCAGACAGCTTGCTCGCTGGTTTCATGTGCGGCGTATTGATTCAGAGTGTTGGATGTCGTGATTGGTAGTAATACGCAGCAGTATGAGAAGACCAGGAGGAGTAGCTAGGAGTAGCCCAGCAGGAGAGGATGGTTCAGGACACTGCGTGTAGGCGCAGGCGCGGCGCAGTAACGAGAGCTTCGATCGAGATATTTTCGAACAACGAAGCACAGAACCACTTTCGTGTCCAAAACACTCGGGAACAAACCCACGCGCGATACAACCGAGAAGTCGCCAGAATCTTGGATTCATTTCGGGCCGACGATTGTCAGACTTTTTCGCTTGTAAAAGAGCTTGAAGATTCATATGGCTTGTGTTGATAAACTGTAAGGGAACGATCGTGGGCGAGGATCTTGGTGTCGGCAAGTTGCTCGTCCGATGGCTGTAACCGGTACGAAGATACTTGAAGGTTGCCTCGGCAGAACGGGAGAGCGACGCCCGACGTCAGCACGGAGAGTTGGAAGCCTCGCGATCCGTCGTCGAGCTAGAACTGTGCCTGCGCATGGGATTGCGTGCCGTCGATCTGCAGATGAAGAAGCAAGAAGCAGATGCGGGCCGTTCATCTTGGATTGATCGTGGTGGAGGGCTCACGGCGGGCCCAGAGCGTCTCTGAGCTTAATATCCTGTATGTACCCCACGGCTAGAAGATAAAACTCCTGTCGTTGAAACACCGAGCCGTCCGAGCCACGGAGGTAGATCGGAAATTAATGCGAGGGGTCGCTTGGTGACGATTTAAATAGGCAGTTAGGAGGGTCTGAGACTTGCAAGATGGAGACATTTGACAGGAAAACGGCTCAGAGTCAAAGCATGTTGCAGGTGAGAGACAAGTGGCAGATGCATAAACAAGGTGACGTCGATGTTCTGGAACGCGAACAGTTAGGAACAGTCCAAGTTTATTCGAGACACAAAAGAGTTTTCCGTCAGGCAGGAAAGAACTCGAAAGACTCAAGAGAGGGTCTCCAAGGCTCGAAGGAAAATATGGCAGCAGTTGCCAGTCCTAGAAATTGACTCGGCTCTTGACGGTTTCTTTTTCTCGTTACTTGCTTTTTCTCCTTTAGTCGACCCAAAAAGCTCGTCCAGGGTCGATTTAAGCGACGACATTGTGAGGATTGGCCAGTGCCACTTGGCAGGTGTGATGGAGCGCTGAGAAGACGATAACCCTGAAACATAATAAGCACCAACAACGCCTGACCTCGCCTTGTGCGGTCATTCTAGACTCTGTTTGCCGCTTCCCTCCGCCCTCTACCATCCT